TTCTGTATGTGGTTCCTTATTTTCATGAATTTTAATCGCTTCCTGTATAAATACATTTTATAATTTACTCTTTTCGTCATCTTGAAAGTTTCAATTTTTTTCTTGTTTTTAGATGTCTTTGTGGTTTGCTTATTATGCCTCTGGGTGTTTCAGTCTGTAAACCCACAAATTTAGTTATTGAAATTCTGACATTTGAGGCAAAGTATTAGGATGGCATATTAAGAAAGATTTAGGTTTAAATTGTGCCATAACTGAAGACACAACTACAATCTAATAGTATTTATTATCTTTTTTGGGGGAGTATAATTCATTTCTTTATTATCTAACAACAGTAATTAGATAATAAAGCTATCGTATTCAAGTAATTTTACTAATTACACGATTGACGTAGCAAAGCAGGTTTTATAAGCATCTTTGTGGTAATTTTATAAGACAATCTTTGCCTTGACTTGACTTCTGATTATACATCATTTGTAGGATCACAAGTAGCATATGTGTCACAAATTGAAATTTGAAACAAGGCAACACTATCAAACGGTTAGATATTTTCTAGCAGATAACACCAACTACTGTTACACACTTGATGTTAACATGTTTGCGTAGTGTTGTAGGTTATACATGATGTTTGTTTGCATATGGATCAAATGTGGTGAAAATGGAGTTTCAGAAGGTGCAGGAGCTTTTGGATTATGTTGCATTTAATAAATATGTTCTTGGTATCAAAGATTACATATTTTTAGGTATAAAAGATTTGAGAGAAATTCGTTTGAGATTCACTCTCAAGTTTCTTATGTATTTTTAGTTATTTCTTGGACATTAATTAATTAGGAGAAATTTCTAGATACATAAAGGTATATTTAACATTACATATGTGTTCTGTTTTTACTTATAAATATTACTAATATAAAAGAAACTAAATATCACGGTCAATAGTGGTGATTTTTTAAAGATTAATTTGTCTTAATAATACGCCGTTTTAGTGTTTTGAGCATGTATTGGAGATCATAATCGGACGAAATGCTTAACACGAGTCCAAATATTATAACTACTTTCATATATGCATTCAAAATTTACCTTTCATATTGGTGAGAGCATGTCAAATTCTTACGATCATGTATTGCGAAAAGTTGGAATACTTTAAATATGCATCATTTATTTACTTGGCATAGTTAATTTTAGCTCAAAATCAATTTTTTATTAACAACAATAAGTTGTGAATTATATTGCTTTAACATATAATTTTTTTTTGTGATGGTAGTATCGACAACCGGAGAATTTAGACTTTATCCAACCTTTTTTTGGTGTACAGCAGGAGGTGAGATCAAGCCTTGAAGTACCGTCAAGCCTTGAAGTACCGTCACAAAAAGTTTCTTTTTATGACCAATGTATGAGTAGCTGGGAAGAAGTTTTTGGCTAGAATAACATTGTACTTTGATGACACTGGCAAAAATAACATCATACATCGAAGAGCAAGAAGGTTAATGAGGGAAATGACCAAAAGGAATCTCTCATAGTGGCGTTTTGGTTGTTTTGTGTTGTTCATATTAGATTTTTTTTCAAGTATAATTTAGTCTAAGTTCAAACTTGTGAAAACAACCAACCAATATAGGCATTGTACTTTGGTTTTTACCTATAATTCAATGTAATTTCATTTCCTTAATCATAATAGCAATGTACTCATATTTCCCTACCAATAATATGAACTATATTGCTTAATTCCACCGATATGTCTTTTTTTGGTTAATTTCAACTCTATCCATGCAACTAAGGTGCATTTCTATGATTTTATTTTCTTTTATTGTTTTGAAATTTGATTTAAGGACATTGTTTGATGTTTACCGTTGCATGTCTTTTTATCTTTAATATCGAATTTTTCTCATTGCATATAGAAAATATAAAAAATCATGTCATTCATGGCCTCCATCGTGCTTAGGAGCATAAACAAGCACATTATCAATAAGACGTTTATACCTATGAGCAAATACAAGAATATCATTCCAAAAAAGATGAAATCTAAATTTCATTTAATTGCTTAAAACAATATACCTCCATTTTATTTTTCTTATCCATGTGATTTACATTGAAAATTCATCCATTTATTGAATTATACTTTCGCTTTTTTGCTTATTTGCACAAAATACTTTACATAACGGTATAAGAAATACTTAAATTACCTCCGTGGGTCGTGCTTAGTACGGGCCTTACACTTTTCTAGTAAAAAGAAACTTTTTGAGGAAAAGCATACCTAACAAGCTAAGCTATATATATATATATATATATATATATATATATATATATATATATATATATATATATATATATATATATAATATATATATATATATAGCTTAGCTTGTTAGGTATGCTTTTCCTCAAAAAGTTTCTTTTTATGTTCCATTTCTAAATCAATAACATACAAAAGCTTTACATATTATTGCAACTTTATAGTGATTGATTCATGATTGTTATTTTAATTCCGCACTCGTCATTTCATTTTTGGGCTTCACATCAAACAAAGCAGAAGTTATTGGGCAAAAATCACATATCAAAAACTAGGTCTGATGATTACTTGGAAAAAAAAAGTCGAGTTTATACGTAACTGAAATCTAGGTTATTAGTTAGACATGGCTAAAGATGAATCAAAACAATAACTCAAAAATTAAAATAAATAAGTCCTACAAACTAAATGAGAAAATCAAATCGTAATGTTAAATCTACAATTAAAATTGCAGAAAAATCGTCAGAAGTCGTCAGGAACTCTAAATATCGTTAGGGTTTTGATCTAAGGGGATAAGGGTTGTATTCATAGGTTCGACAAAATCCAGATAAGGGTCAGTGGAAACACGGGCATGCCAGGTAAGACATGGCCCGTGTTTCACGGAAAAACGTGTTTGACATGTTAAATGAAGTACAATGCTATTTCAATACATATTCCTCAGAACATGACCCGTGTCAAGAAAGACATGGTCGTGTCGAGGTTCTCAAGTTACAAAATATTCAGAAAAATAAAATAGGACACGACCCGTGTTATGTAGGGCACAACGGGTTCCAAGGCTTTGTGCACTTCAATCTTAATAAAAATACCAAATGTACCACAAATGACTTCATCGCTAGGACATGGCCCGTGTCAGATGGGACACCGCTATGTGTCAGGTTTTTTCGTATCCAAATCATGCCTTGCAACAATTTCTTTGAAAATACCAAAATATAAGCAGTATGGATACTCTACAATTAAGCGCAAGTTGTCCAATTTATTACTAAAATGCAGGAAAATGTGCACAAAATACAAAACAAAAGAAAACAAAAACAAACAAAAATGATGCATATAAATGCTTCTAACAATAACCCACTATTACCCCATTATTATATGATGTTTTCATGCTTCACAATAAATAGAAAAACATGCAACACCTTTGCAAAAAAATTTTGCTTCTAAAATAAAAGTTACACAACTCAAATATAACCTTTCCAAAAAGGTTACATATTCGACATAAACACAATTCCATCAATATAGGATAACTGGGTTTAGGAGCATTATCATTGATATCGCATTATCATTGATATCAATATTTTACTTATACATAATATTTTATACTCCCAAGCGATAACGAATGCTTAGTTACTTATATATCTAAAGACAATATACACCCAATAAAGAAATATGAGATAAAAGTATTTGATTAATAAAAAATAAGAAAACATTTTACGCATTAATCTTATTTCCAATCGAATAGACATTAACTTTTACATCCACCCACACATTACATTGTTAATGTTCAAAAACATAATACAGGTAAATGGAGACTGGGTAAAAAAGCATTGCAGAGATGGACACCCAAAGAGGGTATGTGTCACGGTTGAAGGCGAATAAGCCAATAATTATGCAAGGTATCATGATTGTTAGCACCTCGGCAGAGTAGCTCCACGATAATCCCTTAATATATACAGTAACAAGCAATGTTGTCAACCCCAGGAGGTTATTCATTACTAGTCCATTGTAAATCTGCATATCGTAAACAAATATTCATGTTATTAGTTGGACCATATATCATATTTAATGATGAAAATATTTGATGATAAAATAGTAATTTTGAAAGATATGGAAGGAAAACCTTCCTAGTTGATTTTGTTTTCCTTTCAGATGATTCACTTTTTCATTGAAACAAAGTGTATAACAAGAATAGTTAGATTTCGTAAACTATACAAACCTCTGAAAATGTCAAAGAAGCATTCTTTGTAACACGTGGTCCAGCATCAAGGAGTGCCATTATTATCATTTTAGTGTTCATGGAAAGTGGGGCCATAACAAATGAAGTGAAGAGAAAAGGTATGTGAGCCGCATTTGAGAACTGTATAACACTTTGTATGAATGCTCCTGAAATTAAATATATGATACCAACACCGAATACAACATACAAGATAACTGCTTTAGGTCTTCCCATTTTCATAGGTGCGTCAATTTCACCCCAAGAATCCTGAAAATTTGTAAAAAGGTCGATCAGTAGTATATAACTAAAGTTGACATGTAAAAAACATTTTAATGACAAATTAAACAATTAACTATTTTTTGTACATTACCTCTTCAAACTTTGCTATTGCATGTTTTGGATCTTTGATACTTGGATCATGATTAATGGCTTTTTCTATCCATCTAACGAATCCATCTACAAATTCTTTTTTCTGGATTGAACTATTGCCATCACTATCAAAGTCATTTACTACCTCTTGCAAGACTGTATCATGATCCAATGATACACCGAAGTGTAGAGTCTCAATGAACTGTTGCAACTCTTTTCGTTGTATTTCTTGGTTACTATCTTCATCATACTTAGAAAATAACCTATATGTAGAATAAATAATTAATTTATACATCATCTTTTCATCGCACTTGAAAAGACAGGAAATCAAGAAATTTACCCTTCTATCTTTTTTCTGTCCGCTTTTCCATCTTCTGTCACAAGTTGATGTTTCTCAAGGACTTGCTTCAAGATTCTCGGCATGATTTTCTCAATTTTTGTGAGATTGGCACGCTTGCTTTTTATTGCTACTTTCTCAACCTGTAGATTAAGTATTTAAAAAGAAAAGTTACAAATTTGAGTAGTATTTATGACTAAATTATCATTGAAAATAAAAACATGCCTGCTTCCAGAGATTTTTAGAAACTGTATCAGAGTTATTTGCCACATTCTTCCATTTTTCCAACCACTTGGTGCATCCCTTTTTGAATTCTGAGAGATTGATTTTACCACTTTTGTCACTGTCGAAGTGTGTCAAAATCTCTGCGTTAGCATACTCCTTGGATATTTGATCTTTTTCCAAAGCAAACACTTCTTGGATCAAATGTTCCAATTCATCTTCTGATATGTGGCCATCATTATCAGTATCAGCTCTTGTAAAAATACTGTAAAATTGAATCAAGTCATCAAGTTATTCAGTTAGTTTGATATCCACGAAAACATTAAGATAATTATAAGTTTGATTATCTCATTATTATCAAAAGGAATATGTAACACCTTTCAAAGGCCTTAAGATTTGGTTTTCCATGCTCATCAATAAGATCATCTTCTGCAAGCCTCTGGACATGATAGAAAAAGCGGGCTCGCAAGTGCTCTTGCTTTAAGTATGCCAAACTCCTCGCCTGAATCCATGGATTCCAGAGCTACAAAAAAAATGCACATCCAGAAACTTCAAATTGTAAATATATGATTTAGGGCATTTGAAAGTTAAATTCAAGATTTCATAGAAATTTGAGCTATAGTTTGCAAAAACATGGTAGATGTAGTATCGTACCTGATGAGCAAAGCATAAGAGTAGTGACGCACTTGATACAATAAGTCCCAATAGTATTGAACCAGGAATCTTCATTAAAGTGGCTAGTTGTACAGTGGCAAATGGAATCATTGATAGAAGCATGATTACAGCTAAGCTTCCAGTCTCGTCATCAATATTAACACCAGTATCTATATGGCGAGTATCAAAAAGCTATGATTGTAAAGAAGTAGTATATGTCCAAATCTTATATCTGTTGTATATCAATTCTTTTCGAAAAGTATGTTGGCCATATATAGGCTTTCTTATCCGGAGAAAACCAGAAAAGAAAAGTACCCATGCAACTAGACTAGTTATTTATGTATCTTAATAATTATTTAGAAGCAAAATCATCGTAGATTACAGAAACAAGATCTAACCATTCAAAACCGAAACAATCTGGTTGAGAGAGAAACATTTTGTTGTGGAGTCTTGTTGATGTTCACATTCTGGGGTTGATTCCTTTCCACGAAGCTTATCTCGACTTAATATGATGCGAAATCCCCATATAAGCGTGAGAGTAATGACAGTGGATCCTGCATACATGCCTACCCCAAAAGCCACTTGGTTTTGGGCATCTGATGCAGTAGCAAGAACACCAGAGACTGCAGAAAAGATATAGATGTGAATATGATATTTAAATACATTGTTGATCTAGAAGTAAACTTTAACGAGTACTATCAGTTCAAGGTAAGTATTATGATTGACTAATTGTCCATGCGACCATGCCCTAACCAATTGCTTAACAGTGATACACTCATTGGTCAACCACATATCGTCTGAAATAATCATAATCTAAATATTTATTCAACATTACTAGTGATTATATAAATGTGTGTGTGTATGTTAATTTCCATAATGTGTATGAATCTACGTATGTATGCACGTATGGATGTATGCTTGTATGTATGTATGTCGATATGCATGTGTCTCTTTGTTACATAATTTAATAGCATTTTTGTAGTTTTGTTCATTATTTATGCAAATCTAAGAAGTGGACTTTTATGCAACTAGGCAGTTATAATAATAATGGTAATTAAAATAATTATTGTTACTTGTTCGTCTTAATTATGAATAAATAAATGTATAAGATATTTATATCTTGTTGCAGTGACACATGAAAATGAAATGAGAGATCATGAAATAGAAAGTCTTACACTCTTACCAATAACAATGACGATTCGTGGCAAAGCCATAAGCACCCGGAAAACACTAGCACCGATCGCCTTATCTCCGAGCAACACAAACAAAGCTTCACTTCCTTTATGTATCCATTCCTCCCCCAACATCATCAAATACGTATACATAAGCATCAGGAACACCCCTTCTTGAATCGTATCTCCACATGGCAAGAACCCGTAGATGCTTTGACACCTCTTTTCAGCATACAGTGTTATGGTGGACTCTGAGGAATTAGAAACTACCATATGAAGATTAGGAGGGTTTTCTAAAGCCTGATCATGAAGCCCATCTGAGATCATCGAAGTTGAAAGATTGTCAACTTCTAGCCATCTGCCATTAACCATGCCAATGATCATAAGCATGATGAAAGAGAGGCCTATTCCTTGGGAACTTGTCATGTTGGACATGATCCCACTAGAGGACAATGAAAAGTGGCTATATGGATCTAAGTGCCATGGTACCAGGTTAACTTATATGGGGGGAGCTAGGAGGATTGAACAGGCTGTGTATGATGATCTGTTTCATTCCATAAGGTCAACGTCGTTGCCAATAATATAATTTAATCACCCAACAACTTCATATTTGAAAATGCAAAGTGAAAATTAATTGAATCTACCATCTGCATCATGTCCACTTGGTTGATTGAGAATACCCGCAAGTGTTTGTACTACAATTACAGATTTACATATATATTTAAAATATGCGTGGATAAAAAATTGGTTGTAGGTTTCGTGGACGTTTTATTATATAAATTGGAAGGTAAAAAAAAACTCAATGTCGATAATTAAACAACAAGTTAACCCCTTTTCTATCTCTCCCAATTTTCAAAATTAATTACCTTGATTGGAATCTATACAATTTTTTTTAACTTTTCTTCATTTTAAGCGACTTAAACGGATAATATACTTTTCGATTTGTACATATTTTGTCATAGTTTCTTTCGTCCACATTTGCCCATTTAACTTGTTTAACTGTACACATCCAGTCATTATGACCAGCTATTCTAGATAAACTGGAAAAAAATGACTTAATACGGTAATATATTTCTCACTTTGTACGCATTTAGTTATTCCTATTTTTTTTTTTTTTCACATTTAGTTCTTTTTTTTGTCACAAAATAAGTCTTTGTTGCTTTGTACACAATCATTACTTATCAATAGTTTGTTTAGATTTTTCTCACGACATCCTATATAGCACAATCATTAGTGAGGTGTTCGGGGTTGTTCATGTTTATGGCCACTGGGGCCTCGATTGTTTGGTGCTTAGGTCTTGTGTTTTAATCATCGTAACTTCTTCATATAATCTTAGTTTTTAACGATCTTTATATATACACATTTGTATTTTAGTCTACTATAATTTTCGTTTAGATTACTCATGTTAAAAAACTAATATGTTTTTACTTACGTTTTTATAAAAAAAATAATAAAAAAAATACGTTCATCTATACATTCATAAAGAACGCATGTATATAAAGATCATAAGTAAAATATACAATTATTTTATAACGAGAGTAATCTAAACGAAAGTTGTAGTAGACTTAAATACGAACGCGTGGATATAAAGACCGTTAAAATTTGAGATCATAAGAAAAAGTTACGACGTTTAGAACACAAGACATAAACGAAACACAAGACCTAGACAACCAAGCAATTGAGGTCGAGGTGGTCATAAGCATCAACAACCCCGAACACATCGGTAATGATTGTCCAACGTAGGATGTTGTGAGAAGAACCTAAAGAAACCGGTCATAAGTATTGAATGTATACAAAACAACAAAAACTTATTTTGCAACAAAAAAATATGAAGGACTTAATGTGTACAAAATGAGAAATATATTACCCTATTAAGTCATTTTTTTCCGGTTTACTTGGAGTAGTCGGTCATAAAGACTGAATGTGTACAGTTAAACAAGTTAAAAGGAAAAATATGGGCGAAAAAATAACTCAATGATCAAATGTGTACAAATCAAAAAGTATATTACCCTTTTAAGTCATTGTCCCTTATCTTAACTTTGATCGATAAATGAAAGATACCATGATAAGGCACATTGTAATTAAAATGTCTATATTTTATACCAACTAAACAAGGACGGACGCAAAAATATATAGTAGGTGTTGCCAAAATAAAATAGGTGTTGCCAATATATGAAAAATAGATAAAAAAATCAAAACATTTCCAATCCGAAAAGAAAAAATAGGTGTTGTCGGTGCCACACAGAGACCTTGCTATAACCATCCCTGCCAGTAAAGTATTTTCTAATACAAAATAGGAAATATTGTTAAAGTGGATTAGTTTCATTGTCACATTTAATGAGACCAATGACGAATCTAGCACCATATTGGCTAAAAAAATTGCCACAAAATACCCCAAAATTTACGTCTTTCTTAAGTGATGTGTTTTGGAGGTCATTTTCATCGTTTTCATGTAAGGTATGTTATATCTCGTCTTTTTTAATTTCAAATGTTAGTTTTGCGTTTTGTAAGGAGAAGCCTGGTTAAGCATCATACACAATGCGGTACTACATACAAATAATCAAGATGTTTGTATAGAGTAGTGGAGTTCCAGCGGCTCACAAGTACATACGTAGGTGTGGAATGTGTGCAAGTTTGTAAAAGAAAGGAAGACTTTGAATGATGACATTGTGTTACAATGTGTTATAGGTAGAATGAAAACAACAATGTTTAAACGTCCAGAAAACAAAAAATATTAATGATTATGTTTATGTACTGTTGGTAATTCGTCAACAGATTTTAATGAAGAGAAATTAAATATCCTTTTACTTTTTGTTCTTACAAATTTTCTTATCAAATTAAATAGTGACATGTATAATATTTAATGTTTATTTAATGATATTTTAATATAATAATATGACATATGTGATCATTTAATTGGATAGGAGAATTTGTATGAACAAAAGTAGAAAAATATTTAATTTCTCTTTGATTTAATTATATTTGAAAATTATTGTTTTCGCTCCTATCTTTCACACAAACTAAACATTTAATGTCTCGGTTTGTTATACCAACTTATACATATTTCACACTTAAATACATGCATGTGACACGATTAATTAGGCTTCTCTTTACAAAATGTAAAACAAAACATATGAAATTAAAAAAACCGAACTTGGTTTTGCAAGAAATACGGAAAGCAAATAACTTGTAAACACATAATGTTATATAATAAAATAACTTTTGAGTGTCAGAATGATGCAGTCATACACCAAACATGAATATTGAATAACAAAAACCATTTAAAATTTATTCAAGTTTGTCGCTAATTATTTATAACTTGAAACGGAATTGAAAATTTTAATTAATTTTCAAATATATGGCACTAACTCATTGTTATTTTTAAAAATTATTGGCAAATTAGCAATATAACGGGGGATATCTGAAAAATAATTCATAGTTTAAATTCTACGGAAAATGACGCAACGGCCCTACTATGTATTACGACTTTGCTCGTTAAGTCCCTAAAGTTTTTTCCGTGCTTTTTAAAGGAACAAAATGGTTTTTGTCAGGTCGATTTGGTCACTTTGGACAAAATGAAGGGGTAACTCGGTTACCCCCATGCCACATGGACATTAACCCATTTTTCAAAAGCATTGACTTTAAAAAGTCAAAAAGAATTCCTCCTTATTCTCTCTTAACTCTCATTCTAATATTCTCACAACCTGAAGATCATTGTTCATGTTCTGGATATTCATTAGCTCTAGTGATTTCTCATCATCTTCTAGGAAAAGTGATGCAGTAGATGTGCCTGGACCCTTAGTAACACCAAAATCGACACCTGCCCCTGTATTAGATATGTTGACAGTGACTTCAGGTGTACTGACCTTGGTTGTGTTTGTGGTAGTAGAATCCATAAAGAATGGGGTGGATAGGGGAATAGAAATCTGTGGAAAAGAAACACCCACAAAGATCTTTGGTAGTTGAGTAATGGTGATTGGTATAGTGGTAGATATTGGAGATGAAGTGGTTATCAGAGAAGATGGAGGAGCAGGCATGTGAAAGAAATCAGAGACAGGTGTAGAAGAGGTAGGCGGTGTAGATACCATTGGAATTGGAGTTGAAGTAGGTGGAATCGAAGTAGCTGCAATATCTTCCACTTCGTTCCGAACTGGAACACCATCACGAAGATCATAATGTGTTTTGGATTCTGAAGCCTCCTGAACCAATAGAGATGGTGACCTCGGTTTCCGAGCGGCCTTCTTAACCTTCTTCTTCGGAGTCTTGAGTACCTCAGAAGGACAAGCTTTTCCCTTTCGCTTTGCTCCCCTCTTCGGCTTGTTTGCTTCATCAATTGCCTTTCACAATTCTTCTGGCATATCGCGAGCACCAGAAACAGGTAGCTTGCGATACTCAATAACAATGGCATTGTCTGAAGGAACTCTGTCCAACATCACATTCGAAATGGTACCGATAAAGCTAAACTTGGTAGGATCCGAAATCATGAAAGATGATGTTTGAAAAAAAGGAATATATCGCAACCATAATAGTATCATTTACCAGTTAAACCTTGAAGTGGGTAAGGGCTCGTTTAATGATGACCGACCAGAATCGAGCATACGAGATCTCTGAATGGCGAGAAGTAGAGACGGTGCTTTGAATGAATTGTGCCCAGAGAATGGAACCATAATCCAAGTTGACGTCGGTGTAAGGACCATAGATTAAAGTGCAAAATAGCTTGCTTGCACTGTCAGACCCAACAACCCTTTCAGACAGGCTCTTGAACAAGAGAGTAAATAACCCATTCCACAATGGAGGAAGATTGGGCTTCCTGAACTTGGATAAGAGAGATGTATCCCCAAAATACCCCATTTGGAAGAACATCTCGATAAGAGCAGTAGAGGAAATTGAGTCTGCATCCACAAGCCATTCAGTCGAAGTAAATCCTAATAGTCTGCAAAAATGTGCTTTTGAATTCGAAGATTTGTGGGTAGCAACCTCAAAGTGTATAACACCATTTTGTTGACTGTAGAAGGCAGAGGAATACGCCTTGGAAAGATAAACCAAGGGAACAGATTCTTCCATGGTCAAAGCTTGAACTAGTGGGGAGAATTTCAAGCACTCAATCATTGGCCAGAGACCTTCTATGTAGCGGGAGGAGTCAAAATCATGAGTCAGATTTTGACTTGGCTTGACTTTCAACATGATGATTGAAGCGGATTGATCAACAAACGAGGTTGTGTCAGATGAAACAGCCATTGATGCGGCGATGAAGAAGATGAACAGTGAGTAGAGAGAGAGAAAAGGGTTTTTCCTTGAGAGAATTTGTGAGCTGTAGGAGAAAATCATTCGCTGAAATCCATATCCCGGTAAATTAGCCATGAAAGTCGTGACAACTATATGTATCAGGCGGCGTGATAACTGACACGCGTGATGTCAGGAATTTGAATTTTACGCGCCTTCATTGAATCCCTAACCCCAAGAAACCGCCTTTTTAGTTATGTCGTTTCGGAAGAATATGCCACTCCACCATAACCTGTTCTCGGAATAACAGTAATC